TGCTTAAATAAAGAACAAATTCATTCTAAAACATTAAAAACTTTAAAAGCACAACATTACAAGCATATGTGATTACACTACATAAAAGAAATGGTACCTAGCTGTTTGAATAACTTGTTTATTTGATCAAAAATTAAAACTTTTTTCTCCAAAGTTTTCAACACAAGTTCACAGAAAGATCTGATTGCAGTTATAAAAGATTTTGAATTTAACAATAAACAATCAACTAAGGTACAACAATAAGATATCAAAATGTATCATGCATTGCACAATCTTTCAACCAGATACCTGAAATGTTTTAACTTCTCAGGTAAGCAATATAAACAGAACATTATCAACTATTTTTATCATTTAATCTTGCTATGAAACAGTTTAAGATGTCAACAGCTCCACTATGAAACACTGGAGAAACTGCAGCAATAATTATTCTATTTAGTTCACAACCAAATCATTAAGCAAGTTCAATGGTAAAATCAATTATATATATATATATATATATATATATATATATATATATATATATATATATATATATATATATATATATACATTGCTAAATACTTTCATTTTAATGGGCCAATAAATAGCACAACTTTTACATTAAAATATCAAATGAAAGGAAAAAATGACCATCACAATTCTACCATACTTTATAAAGCTCAGCACTTAACATTCCATACAGTATAATTTTGAAAAAGCTATCTAGCTTTACACTTGGTCTATCATCAACCATCCGTTACTAAGTTGTAAAGCTCATAATTCCAGTTTCTTTTAGCCTGTTCACAACTGACAACCCACTAACAAATAGACTTTTATCTGAAAACAAAAAATTGTTACCCAATAAATGTTTTGCAATAGCAAATCTTCACCATAATACTTTTTCCCCCTGTGCTCAGGTACATGTCCTTTTTGGACATAGTACATAAATAATAACCCAAATCTTTGGTTTTCAAACATTGGTTATGGTCCCTTGGTTGTACACTCATGCAAGTAGTACACTGGCCATAAACTGAATATCCCAATGTGAGTTGTTTTTGAAACATTGGCCCAAATGATTAAATTACAGTTTTAGAAAGAAAGCTAGAGAAAACTACAGTGCAATAAAAGACACAACAGTACAATCTAAGATGGCTAAACCTGTGCATAGCAGAGCATTTCTAAAACTGATAAACCTGTATACCACTACAATGTTTAAGCTATATATATATATATATATATATATATATATATATATATATATATATATATATACTAGTGAAAAAAATGTTTTACAATTATATCCTCTACTGAATGCAGACTATGGTTTTTACAATTTGGATAACAATGAATTAATGAGACAAAAATGAATTGATAAGAATGATCAAATGCATTTAATATTTTAGAAATACAAAGAAGCAAAGTTTTGAATTGATTAGAGGTTTGAATGGTGAATGTCAAGTTTTGGGTGGTAATTTAGGTATGCAGACACCAATTTACTTCTTTCAGTCATAGTGACCTTGACCTTAGAACTTTGGCCATATTGACGGTTGTAATTTGCTTCATTTTAGATAAATCAAATGCCTTCAAATGGTGAATGCTATAATAGTCAAATTCTGTCAAGCAGAATTTGCAAATTTGTTCAAGTCTTTCAGGCCAATATACTTTGTAAAATTATGTTAAAGGTCTTTGACAAGGTCAGTTGAGATTTTTCTAGTTTTAATAAAAACTACCCATAATTGATGTTAACAGCATGATTTGCATCTAAAGTATGCGTGTCAAATTTGGTAACTGTTGAGCAGATCTGTTTTCTTATGTTAGTACCATACCTCAATGTGAGGTTGTAAATGTTTGTATGATCTTTTAAGCCTTTTTGTGTAAATATGCATGTGTGTGAAATTTTGGTCAATTTCTGTGTTTTTGAGATTAATGTAAATGCTTCAATTACTATCTTATTGTGGATCAGCCTAATTTGTACAAACCTGAAACCCTTTCATGCCGGGATGATCACTGCCCAATTTTATTGACATTTGTCTAGTGGTTTTTGAGCTTAAAATATCAAATGCTGACAATGCATGACTGAGACGTGTGCCTGACATCATTTAGTCTTAGCTAAATATGCACTATATGGTAACATTTTGGAAGGCAATTCCAAAATTTATAGCTTTTCAATGGATTGACATCCAAATAATTTGTACAACATTATAGCACTCCAACCCAACCCCCTCCAATTTAAACTATTTCATATTATTGGTTATTTAACTATTGCAAGCAATAAAAAATAATAGAATGTTTCTGTAAGATTCAGTGTGATCCTTAACAAGTGATCAATGTGGGTCAGAGATCACTCACCTGCATCTAAAAACCAAATTCAAGAGCTTTAGCCGCGAAAGCTGGGCCAGTATCAAGCTTTCTGAAGCAGTTTTTTATTTCATGTTACAAAAACAATTCTATCAAGGGTGGATCAGCTGCAGCTGTATCCATTAGATAAGCCTTCATACAAGATGCTTTTTGTCAAATTTGGCAGAATTCTGTTTAGTAGTTTTTGATAAAGAATCTTTTACAATTTTTCTTTTGCACAGTTAGAAATGGAGTAAATATTGATAAATGAGAAACATTTGAACAAATGTGACAGCTCATCACCCCATGATGCTTTCTGTTAAAGTTAGCTGAATTCTATGAGGTAGTTTAATAGAAGATGTCAATAAAGTATGTTATTTAACAGTTTCACCATTTTAAAGAACAGTGGACATATTTGACGGTGGATTATCTGTACAAACTTGAAAGCCATTCATGCGTCATTTCGTCTAATTCTATTCAGAAATTTTGAGAAGTTCTTTAAATGTTTTTCTCTTTTTATTAAGTGGCAATATTTGATGGCAAACTGGCACATGTAAAAGTGTGAAAGCCGTTTTTGATTGGATCATCATCAACAGTATGTTATGGTTACAGTTAGAGTTTTTCCTCTGCATATATTCCTAAACCCCTTGATAGAGTCTTATCAAGCTAAGAGTAAGACATGCTGGCACTTCCCTTTTACACTGGGATCAAATGCACATTTACCAAGCTAGACATCCCAAGACATGCTGGCACTCCCCTTTTACACTGGGATCAAATGCATATTCACCAAGCTAGACATCCCAAGACATGCTGGCACTCCCCTTTTACACTGGGATCAAATGCACATTCACCAAGCTAGACATCCCAAGACATGCTGGCACTCCCCTTTTACACTGGGATCAAATGCACATTCACCAAGCTAGACATCCCAAGACATGCTGGCACTCCCTTTTTACACTGGGATCAAATGCACATTCACCAAGCTAGACATCCCAAGACATGCTGGCACTCCCTTTTTACACTGGGATCAAATGCACATTCACCAAGCTAGACATCCCAAGACATGCTGGCACTCCCTTTTTACACTGGGATCAAATGCACATTCACCAAGCTAGACATCCCAAGACATGCTGGCACTCCCCTTTTACACTGGGATCAAATGCACATTCACCAAGCTAGACATCCCAAGACATGCTGGCACTCCCCTTTTACACTGGGATCAAATGCACATTCATGTAGTATTTGAAGTACTGGCTATTTTCCTTTGCTTATATTTTCTATAACCCCTAGATAGAATCTCTTCTTACTTGGAATAAATCATTGTAAAGCTAAAACATATAATTGTATTACATGCCTGCTCACCCCTTTGACCTTGGTGCCAAGGATAGTCACAAAATTTTGTATTAAGGTTTTGATCATGAGATTTCATTGATTTTATTCACACTGAATCAATATGTCCAATGACAATACACTAACTTGTATACCCTTTGATTTTGGAATCAAGGTCACAGAAAATTTACATCAAGGTTTTGGTTTGAGTTTTCCCATTTGCGTACATTTCCTAAAGCCTTCATGGATTGTATTAATACTCCTATTGAATCACTATGAAGCTAAAACAATTCAATTTGTTCGTGCGCTTGACTTGGCCTTGCATCCAAGTGAACCACTTGATACAGATATAGGAAAACAGTGATTCAATTAACTGTGATTGGATTTTCTACTGCAAATCCATGGGCAATTAGATCAAGAAAATATCTACCTGGCCAAAGCAATGTCCATTTACCTCAGTCTGCTTCCCCCCCTCCTGAGTGACTGATTAATTCTAACACTTTGGTGGATATTTCTGACTACTGCAGAAAGACGTGATGGGATCCAAATCCTTACTCTGCAGGATGGTGAGAATTACATATATTTATGGAAATATTGGCATAATTCATCATTTGTACATCAGTCATTCACACTAATGAACCCAAAGCAGCTGTCACCATTTCTTCAAATTCCATTACAGTGATCACAAGCAAGCAGCCAGCTTCTGAACCAATTATGGCCACAAAAGTGGAGGTCAGATTGGTGCAATTTTCACCGAAGACCAAGTATGTATCATAAAAAGGAGAGGGTCTGCATGTTGAGCTATTGATAAAAACACACACCATGGTTGGAAGCTTGCAAATGCATACTACAGAAAGAATTAATGTTTAACCAAAACCTAAATGCAGACTCTCTCTGACTATAACCTTGACCCAAAGTCAAAGGGACAAGTGAAAGTATCATAGAACAATTTTTTAGGTTCATAGTCATTCATCCTAATTATGAAAAAATATATCAAGGGGTTTAGAATATAGAAAAAAACTAGACCCAAATTTTTTCCTTGATACTGACTCCATGGTCAAAGCTGTAGAATGAATGGTCTAGGCTTCATAACTATTCATCCAAAGTATGATAAGAATGAAGTCATACAAGTGTGTGTGTGTGTGAGATTTAGATTTTTAATGAAGCTTTAACAATTTCTCAGTCATATCGCTATGTCTGCAGTGTGGCAGTTTATAGTGATGACTAGCACTGGGGCATTATGCCAGACTTGTTCCACCCAGTCACATTATCCTGACAACAGGCCTAACACTAACCTCTTAATGCAGAGCACCAAGCAAGGCAGCTGTTAGTACCATTTTTGTAAGTCCTTGATATGACTCAGCTGGGGATCAAAACCCATGACCTCCCACATCTGAGGTGGACACACTAACCACTAGGCCACTGGAGTGGTCGGTCATATAAGCAAATAGAAAACCATAATGCAAACTTTCTAGGACTAAGACCCTAACCCCTTAGTAAAAGTAGAATGATCTGTTAGAATGTAAAGTAATAGTATCTATCAAGAACTTCAGGTAATTCATGCAAAATTAAATTTTTATCAAAATGTGGTACTGGGTGCAAAACTACAGATTTTGTGTGTAGATGTTTGTGTGATTTGGATTCTTGATGTAGCTTTAACAATTTTTCAGTCATATCACTATGATGCCTGCAGTGTGGCAGTTTATAGTGATGTCTAGCACTGGGGCATCATGCCACAGACATGTAGCATGATGTCCCACCCAGTTACATTATCCTGACACCAAGTCACATTATCCTGACACCCAGTCACATTATCCTGACACCCAGCCACATTATCCTGACACCAGGCCATTATGTCCCACCCAGTCACATTATCCTGACACTAGACCATTATGTCTCACCCAGTCACATTATCCTGACACCCAGTCACATTATCCTGACACCAGGCCATTATGTCCCACCCAGTCACATTATCCTGACACCAGACCATTATGTCTCACCCAGTCATATTATCCTGACACCAGGCCGACCAGTCCTAACACTATCCTGAGTGCCTATCAAAGCTGTTGTTAGTACCATTTACAGAAGTCTTTGGTATGACTCAGATGGGATTTGAACCTGCGACCTCCGGCATCTGGGGCGGACACTCTAACCATAAGCCACTGGAGCAGTCAACTACAGGCTTTAATGATGCAGTGACCAACATACACTGATGCATATTGCAAAAGAAATTCTGAAAACACAGTAATTACATATTTAAAAATTTATTTTCTGTCAAGAACCATGTTACATATATGTACGAAAAAACCAGCAAATGATTAGTATGAATAGTTGATGAACATGTGTATTTACCAATGTTCACATGACACCCATATGAAAAAAAAAAATGAATGCATGAAAGTTCTATCAAAAATGTGCATTAAGAAGCTAAATCATTCCAGCCTATATCATGACATATTAGAATTCAACACAAAAAATTAATCCAAAAATTAAAGTTATAGAAAAATTACATTTCAGTATGCACAGGTATACCATAAATGTCATTGTCACTAGGCAGTGTTTGAAAAAAATGTGAAGGTATATGTGTCTGAAAGTCACTAGAGTGAAATAAATCTTACAACTACAACTTGATTTTATACAAATCTGAATTAATAATTCCTTGTTAATAAAGTTACACAAACTTACAAAACACTATATAGATGCACAAAATATCTTGTATCACTTATTTATGGATATGTATCTGGGAATTTTTTTTATCATTTTCCAAAGAATTTATGGATTTTCAGCTGCCTGTCATGTGATCACATTATGATGATAGCCTGACAACCAAAATGCACAAGTTCACTGTGGGATTAATTTTCACGATTTGCAATTACCTAATTTCATAGGTAAATTGATTGATTTGTCATGCTGGGTGATAAACTTTGGTACATGAATCTGTATGCCAGCTGAATGCATAGGCATCTGTGGACTATTGCTTGATTGAAAAACAAATATACACAATACTTTGATGAAAAACAAATTATTAGCCAAAATGCTGAAGATTGAATCTGAGATTAATAATGATCCGCTTTTCAAGAGCTGATGTTTTTCAAAAATAACAAGCTAACAATAAAAAGCAGTGACTTACACTCCCATTTGAAATTAACATTTGCAACTAGGAACATATAACTCCTTTATTCAATAAAAAAAGAAGAGATTATATAATTTTTTCTTCAAGAAGACACACATATTAAAATACAAATAAAATTGATTTGTTTTGGCAATAAAACTCTTTAGTAATTCAAAAACAGTACTTTTTACACCCACACCATGTTTAACAGTCCTCTACATAGTAGAGTATGGCTGACACTGGAAAGAACTGACTGATGGCTATCAATGACCAGAACCTTTGGTCAAGGTATAGTCTTGAAAACTTACTGTACAGAAACCATTATTTTCTGATCAAATTTACCAAAATTGGAACCCATGACCTTTAGATCCCTGAATCTATAGGATTCTTTATTGTGCAAGCCATCCAAAACTTTCAGCCAAGGAACTTGCTCATGAACAAAAGTTATTCTGCAAAACCAGTATTTATTCAAGCCACAGAAACTCTACATTTCACATTTTGAGCCCACACTTAATAGAACTCCCCCACACCTTTTTTACCCAACATTTAAGTCACTTACAGTGACCTTGAAATTTAACCGTTTCCCCCATCCTTTAAAAGGTTTCTTCCTCATCCTAAATGCAAGCCATCCACAAAATTTAGTCCAGTTTTGAGATTAGAGCTGTGTTATTATACACAAAATTTAGTCCAGTTCTGAGATTAGAGCTGTGTTATTATACACAAAATTTAGTCCAGTTCTGAGATTAGAGTTGTGTTATTATATACACAAAATTTAGTCCAGTTCTGAGATTAGAGCTGTCATCATACAGAAAATATTTTTCTTTTTCTCCAGAAAAATCATCTTGACTTATAATCCTTTTTGACCCCCAAATCAATATTTCTTTTTACTACAATTGCAAGAAATCTACAAAGTTTGATCCAGATCTGCAATAAAGATTTAATGTTACTATATTGGAACCATTTATCTTCTTTTAGTCAGAGATCTTCACTTCTAATACCAAAACCTATATACATTTTTTTTTTTTATCCTAAGTGCAGTCCATCCACAAAGTATGGTCTGCATGTGATATAAAGCTAATTTTACTGTGTGGAAATCAGTGACAGTGTCCATGACCTGATTTGGTTCTTTCTTACCTCAAGTACAAGTCACCCATAAAGTTTTGTAAGAATAGATGGCAGAAAAATTGTTATTGTTATTGTGTGGAAACAAACTTGGTAACAGATGGATGGATGGTCTTATGGCAGGTTTATAAAAACAAAAAGGAGAAATAGGTGAAGCGGTTGTAAAAGTTAAGATGCCATGTCACAACTGTGTTATATCCATATTCTTGTTACAATGAAGCACACTGCAGCAGGGTTTCACTGTACATATGTTACTTGGAAGTGTCAATTGACCTTTCATCTTAAGATACAAGACTGTCAAGATAATATAATGGTTAGCCTAACAGCCATTCAATTTCATCACATCATTCATCACAATCAGGAGAAACAACCAATCACTTTGTCTGAAAATAGAAAAGAATAGTTAAATAAATCAAACAGCATCATACCTTATTTCATTTAGTAGCAAAAATAGGTCAGTTATCAGGCTTAAGAAAAAAAGAATAGGTCTGCTTTGATTGATGAAAGTATCAATTCAAGTATGCTACTGGATTGGATTTTCTTATAACAAATCTTTTATAAGAATGTAATTATCATTTATTTTGGATGTGCTTATTCTAAATATTAAGGGAAATATTTTAATCAAAAAAAGGAATATATGTAACATTTTTTTCAAAATTCAATGTTCAGCTAAAATACAAAGTCACAAGAGAAGTAAAGACAATGAGGTCCATATGAACTGCATGGGAAAAAAGAATTGTAGAGTAAAATCTGATATAAAACAATAGAAAACATTACTCTGAAGCTCAGATTTCATCATTAAAAGCCAATCAAGTTACAAACCACAGTACCATGTGATTATTTTGATACAAAATTTAATTTGATATAATGACTAAGAATAAGACAAGTGCTATGGAATGAACTCTGTAATAATGGTAAAGTGAGGTGCCAGCTAATGGAAACAGGAGACTTGGCCTATCGGACCACACACTTGTGGAAAACAGGATTCCTCAGCTATCAAATTACAAACTTGTGGAAGACAAGATCCTCGTCTATTAGACTAAAAACTTATTGAAAACAGGATCTGTATCCTATAAAAAAAAAAACAAACTCATGGAAAATAGAATTCCTAGCCTATCCAACTAACAACTCACACAAAACCAGAATTTCTAACCTATCAGTTAACTAATGAAAAACTGGATCTTGGCAATTCAGACTGAAAATTCAGAGATTAGGATCTTTGCCTATCAAACAACATAGTAAAGGAAAACAATCTTGACCTATCAGATTACAAACTCACAGAAAATACGATATCATTTTCGATTACAATCTTTATGCATGCAAGCAATATTATATCAAATTTCGTTCAATAAATGTACAAGTTATGCGAGTTTCAAAATCCTGAACAGAAATTGTTTACAACTACAATGTCACTACCATCATCACCAAAACAGTACTTCTTTAAACAAATGTCTTACCTATCCCAACATATATTCAAGTTTGATCTTTCCACTCCTCCAATTTTTTACGGAATGCAGCCTCACGTTCCATGCGATGACGCTCCTCCTCTTCCACCTCCTTCTTCACCTTTTGCCACTTCATCACCAATGATGATACCTGCCTCTTCTTCAGAGAGATGCCACCAGGGGCTATCACCTGAACAAATATATGAAGTTATTGTATATACATCTATATCTAGAGCCAAAGTGCAAATTGCAGAGACCTAGATCTCCCATCGCATTATGTGTGTGCAGAGCTGGGTGTGTTTTGTTTGTCAGACTCGACTTATAAACGAGTTCTTATGGTATTTATTCACAGTAAAATATATTAGCAAAGCGATTTAGTTTTGTCACCAGTTCTGGCAATTTATCAAATTTCCAGCAAAATTTCAGGTGAATAAACATTAAACTGAGATCCAATGGACACTGACACCAAGTCACAAATGAGACCTGTTGGTCAAAGCTACCTTTTGATTTACCAATCAAATTACAACTTTAAGGAAATGAAAACTTCATTCCAAACATAATGTTTCTAATGATAACTCTCCTAAAAATGAAATTAATGTTTTTTTTGATAGGCTACTACAAAGTCACTTAAGAATTCCAAGTGTCAGTAGTGAATGAAACTTTATCAGTGCCTGTCAGAGCTATTTATTATAAGATGATCTCATTTTTAATTGGATTGTTAGATGTGTGTAATAGCTTGTTTATGACTAGAAACAAGTCATTAACTGGAAATAAGAGATCCATGTAGGTCCAATATTGCTTGTCTGGCTTACAAAACTTTACAGTTTACCATTTCGCCACACTGGTGATGTGGTATTTTAAGAAAACAACCCTATACTAACTTTTTTCTAAATTTAATATGTCAACTCAATCTATTTAAATATAGTGAAACAAGAGGTCCAAGTGGACCTGGGATTGTTCAACTAATATATACCCAATAGTCAGTTCAGTACGATGCTTATCAATTGAAATTTCTCATTCTGTTAATTTTTATTAAATGAAAACCATAGCTTCAAAGTTTCTTTAGATCCATACTGATGATTACATAATCAACATCATAATAATAAAAGGGCTCTATGCCAAGGTGCTTTGTGTCAAATTTGTTTTTGTTTTTTTTTTTTTCATTTCATGTAATATCAATGTTTATGATTTTAATGACTGTGGCCATATTTAATTGAGAAATGGCATCATTTGTATTCATCCGAAAGCCATTTAAGCCAGAACATTTTCGTAAAATTCCAACAAGTGATTTTTGTAGAAGAAGACATGTGGTTTTATATATTTAGTAACAGCGGCCATATCTGATGCCAGATTGGAATCATTTGTATAAATTGTAAAGCCTTTTAAGTCAGTCTGTAAAATGTGGTTTCATTTTTTCGATTTTAAAAAAGTTATTAAAGGATTCTCGATTTTTAGTAATGATGGTCATATGTGATTGTGACACTATACCAGCTG